CTACTATTTGTAGACTGCTTTCACACAGTTGGTGTTATGTTCTAGTCTCCCCGTCGCCAAATTGTTATGTTCTCGTCGCTAAATTATTGTTATGGGCTGGTCGAGAAATTAATAGTCCTGACGCGAGAAGGCGGAAATCAGAAGACCACTAGGTTTGCGATGGTACTTCTATTGTCCAAACACAAGGAGACGAAAATAAATGGTCTCACACCAAAGTGATAGGTAAGTAAAGTAGTTCACACAAATTGTGAATGCGAAATATATATATGACAAGCGTGTGAAACAATCATTAGACAGTCTTAACATGAATGGCTAATTATAACGAAGTGTCGATCCATATATACATATAGCAGACACGTCAACATCCCCACATATAATATGGATATATGTCACCAAGCAACGGACTGTCAACAAACACTCATATTATATATAATATAATATAAGGAGAATACACATTATTAAAGGAGACAAGTTCATACAAGTGAAATGGTCACAGACTAAGCGAGCAAACAGAAAGAGAGACCAACATGCACACACATAAATATATATATATATATATATGGATACATATCAGTTGGACAAACCAACTACTGAATAGGCATACTCAAATTAGAATGAAGATTTTATTCAGAAAATAATTAAAACTCAATAGAAAAAAATAATCAGGATTGTTTATTATGAAAACAAGTTTATCTGCCTACTAAGGCAATCTTAACTAATGTTATTAAGAGTACACATTCTTTATCTGTTACTGAGATGCACGCTTAATGTGCAATTTAGATTTAACGATGTCATCTATAACCAAAGGGATATAGTCTCTATGGAGTCTGTATTAGTACCTCTCTCCCAGCGGATGTCTCCATGGCGGGCTTGGAGAGGGATCCACTGAAAAGAACAGTCTCGAGCATATTGACCACACTTTCATAACTTGTGATGAAAACTGTTCAGCTGCTGAATTTCTCGGAAAATTTAACAGTTCTCACTCATCTATATTTGTCACTACAGAAGAAGAGTAGAATCCCGCATTTCACTTACAAGTTACGCTAGATAAAAGAGAGGATGTCACGTTAGAAGGTCGATTTAGCGAAAACCAGTCTTTACAGGGCAGTACACTAACTTCAACAGTTGGGCACCTATAGGCAGAAAGAGAAACCTTATCCGTTCTCTATGTCCAAGAATTCGGAAAATTCTCTCTGTGCATACAGTCGACATGGAACTAGAAAGCCTCCGCACAACCCTCTTAAATAATGGATATCCTAGAAGGTTTATCGACAGAAACATCAAGAAAGAAACCGTCCCCAGCCAAATCACAGTGCCAAAGGGGACACTGTTTATGAGTTTGGCGTTCAAAGGTGACACACTGTTGCTGATTTCAATAAAAGTCGGTTATCTAATTATATTAAACACTCTTTTTATGCGGCTGACTTACATTTAGTATTTACCGACTCGACAATTCCCTTATATCCACCTCTATGTGCGCATATTCATGCTGGTGTGAAACCGATTACACTGGACGCGGGTTTTCCGTAAACACGTGGCTAAAAGCTATCCGGTTTAGTTAATGAAAGGTGAGAAAATGATGAAAAAGTCTTCAATATATGAACAGTTTCTGGAGTCAGGTCATTCAGCCCCAAGTGATTTATCCTTTAAAGTTATCTACAGGACCAAATCAAACCACTCCAAAAGTTTACGTTTTCTTCACTAATGCAAGGCCAAAGCCCTAGATATACATGGACAAAATCCTAAATTATGTGTTCAAAAACGTTTTGGTAAATCCCATTCTTTACCTTGGTCATAGTAATGTTCTATTATTTTATTTTACCATTTGAATTCATTCCACTTCACTTTATCTTCTCAGTCTTTAGTGCTATCATCATCGTGCTCTTAATTTTTTAGACAATACTATTTTAAAATCTTTACACCAATTCACTTATTTAATAATCTTCAATAGTTTAGTAATTCATCCACTTCTATTCTACCCTCTTAGTACATCATTTCAATTATCTTTATTCTTATCATATGCGTGTTTATTGGGCAGTTTCTAATGCCGCTAAATGTCTTTTTCCGTAGTATAGATGAGGACGCTAAAGCCATCAGGAACGGAAATGGAAAGCAAGATAAGCGATCATGACTTTGGAACCAGTCAACAAAAGGAACAAGATCAGGATTTCAAACACTTATATCCAGTCAGTGAGCGCTTCTGTATGGTTCGGAGACTTAGCGCCTCACTAAAACCATTTCCAATAGGCTGCTGACTTTCGTCAATACGTGTCTTCTCACGATACTGACAGAAAGGATAAACAGAAAGTAACTCTGACAGGCAGAAAATTAACCAACAACCTCTTGACCAACAAATATGCAGAAGGAAATTCAAATTGAACTGAACGTGAGCACTGAAGAGACCTTCAAGTGACACCCCACGCCAGGCTGTTCAGTGGGGTTAGGAGTGGGTGACATGGCGGAGGAAGTACGTGGTCAGTCTTGAGGCCAAGTGAAAGTGATGACAAGGAACCGAGTGCAATGGAGATGCGACACTGAAGTCATGTTCCAGTTGGAATGCACAGAATGAATAATAACATAATAATACCATATAATATTAAATATTCATCAAGTCGTAGACATTTTATTCGATGGAAGTACCTAACACTACAGGCTAACTGGAAGTGTTTTTCATTGGAAAGGTATTTCTGCAACTGGAAGAAATAGAAACAGTGATCGCGCACTCACTCAATACAGAATAACAGCAACTAGCACATAATCTGCAGTCAGTTAAAATGCAGATCTGATAAATTCTGATATTATTATTACCCAGTACGAAGTCTATGTTGAGATTCAAGAGTTCTTGCCATTGAAGACTGTCATCCTATTTGGCATAAAGTCTAGACGTTGAATGCTGAAATATAATGTTTGTGTTATTATTATTATTATTCTATTGGGTTCCGAGTGGAATAGAGGGTCTCAGTAGCACATTTTCACTTCACTTTTAGGCGAAACCAAGATTGCTTATAAGCTATCATCTAATTACGCACACGATCTCCTACACATCACCCTCGGATGCCCAATTCGTCACTTTCTATTCGGGTTTTACTAGAGAGAGTTTAGTGTGTGATGTTACTCGACATATATCCAGTCCATCTTCGTTTCTTTCGGCATATTTATTGGGCGATAGGTTCTTGGTTGGTTTATTGTGGCTTATACGTTCTGTCTGGGTCGGCTTGTCTTCATTATCTGGCGAAGGCAGCTGTTGACAAAAGTCTTTAGCCTGGTGGGAATTTTTTTTCGTTTCTGATCCATATAGAAGAACTGACCTAACACTGGTGTTGGAAATCCTAACTGTGTTCTTTATGTTGAGTGCAGCAGCCTTCCACACTGATTTCAGACTGATAAAGACCGTCTTGCTTTTTTCGATCCCGTCTTTGACATCCTCATCTGTGCTACCCGTGTTTGAAACGAGACTTCCTAGTTAGGTGAAATAAGTAGCTTTCTTGAAATTCTTAGCATCAGTGGGGAGTGGTGTTCGTTATTTGTTGGTTAGGTGTCTTCATCATCTGTCTTCTTTGTATACACAATAAGTCCTATCTTTCTTGCCAGTCTCTTCCGCCAGTTTTTTTTTGGTTTTAGTCTGTAGATCTTCGAGTTTGTTTGACACTAGATATAAGTCATTCATGATGCCCAGATCTCCCAGTGTCTTCTTGTCAGTCCCCACGGAATATAATCGGTGATAATAAGTAGCCTTGTCTTACTCCTTTCTTCCCTTCAAACGCTTTGTTGAGCTCTCCGATGTGAATCACTCGGCATGTGGCATCCTCATATATCTGTTGGATTAGACAGTTGAAGGTTTCGGGCAATTCCTAGTGTTAAGGCAGTTTCCAAACTATTTCGCTGTCGACGGACTTTGCAAAGTTGCCTGATTTAATAGTTCACTGGTTTACTAGGATGTCCTGAGTCAGGGAGATTAGTGGAGGCTGGGCATGTGCGTCGGCGGCACAGTGGTTAGGACTCTCGCCGACCATGCACATGGTCCGGGGTTCGAGCCCACACCGGCGCACACCTGATATCTATGGTCGGCCTGCAAAATTTGGGCTACCGATATCCATGCTGAAAATTCCATACTTGTACCAAAAATACAGTGTGGAATCAATCTGTAAATCAAAAAAAATCCAGGAAATCAGTCCAGTCGCTAATGCAACTTCAAAGCACGGAAAAACGAAGTTGGTAGTGAGGTTTTAGGGGACCAGAAACATTATTAATGTTCACAGAGTTAAGAGAAGTTAGGTGCATTGGGATATGTAATCCCAGCCACCACCTCATTTTAGTGGCTAATGGTCAGGACTAAGCTAAGTAACTCAACATTATTTCTGATACTACTTGTACATTACCAGTCAACTGATAAGAAGCTCTCGCGACTTAGGTTGTCTACTTATTGATACTCATAGAAGTAAGGCATATCTACATCTTTGAGCAAAATTGCATACACTCATCAACTCAATGTAACAATAGTGTTATGCATGCTATAAACGTCTCATCTCATAGATAAGCGAAAAATGCCTAAAGTGCATATCATACGGAAGGCTAATTTACGTTAGGATTGAAAAATGAGTGAGAAAAAGTCATTCATTATTAGAAAGCAAACAGACGACCAGTGATGACCTGAAAATCTGATTGGAAATATTTCAAACTTCAGTAGTGAGTGACACCTCCAAATTTTATAGCAAACATGAAATTACAGCTACACCTAACTAATGAGCAAAAACTAGCGAGAAGTATCCATCAAATAGGTTTCTGAGATATTTGATATTCTTTTTTGAGACAAAATATCACTTACTTATAAGTAGTATGAATGAATTACACAATTTCATATATTGTATAGTAGTAGAATTCATTTTTCTATTTGGTTAAACTATAAAGGAAACTTACACTGGAAGCAAAACTATAAGTTTTCGTTAAAAGTCATTGTCACTTAAAATACCTTCAGTAGAAAACGTTTTTGCTTGACTTACCTTTCAAAGTTTAGATACTCAAGAATTAATTCATTAATTATTAATTTCACATTTGAGTGTATATCTGAAGCAGGTGAGGTCTTTATTTCAGGTAATTGACTTTTGATTTTCTCAAAAATCTTCTTTAAAATGTCCGCTTTAACTTCGTTAAGAAACCCATCGTCATTGAGTGCTGTCCTCAAATAATTCTTTAGGTCATCAGGGGAGGACATATTTGAATTACCACACTGCGAGTGAGAGTAGATAACACTGTTAAGATATTGAGAAAAAGGAAAATAGCATCTATACTTTGATATTCAGGATAATTCCAAAAATAAAAAATTTACTTCAGTTGCATACAGCATATTTTATAGTAACGGTGTAAGCGGACTGAAATGTTAAACTACAAAGTCTATATTTCCAGACTAAAACAAATGTGTTTTCTTTTTAATTTCAAGGTGGGATTCATCACTGACAGACATTAATTACCGAAGGGATGGAAACTAGAAAGTACTAGATAACTGTCACATCATAGTTTGACACTTTTGAGAATTGTGCATGCACTTCCGCATACCAACAGCCAAATTTAATTTATTCGACCTGCTAGGCCAGCACTTCAGCACTCGGGCATTAAGTTAAGCGATCTAACCTGTGTTTTTGGTTGTTCCCTCTGCCAACAGTGGCTGTAAATAGGCAGTTGCTCATTGTCCAGTTTGCTGTATTATCCAGTAAGTGTATCAATATCTGTTCGCCTACCTTATAGAAGTAAGTGAAACGATAACTTTAAAAATCACGACAGTTTATTTATTCAAGCTAAGTGAATTTAATAGATATTCAATATCATTCACCTTATTAGTGTTAAAACAACTATTGACTTTTCACTTTAAAAACATTCGGATACATCATAAGTAATCAACTCAGTTACGCAAAATAAGCAGGATAGAAATACGATGTCACTGGGAGTTTATGACGAAATTAATACACTGACTACATTATCAGTGTATAACTCTGGATAAATTTGTCAAAGTTCAAAATGTTACACTCCAAAAAAACGTGCACAAATGCAGAAAAAAGAAGAAACTGCAGTGGACGAGTACGTATCAGTAAAAAATAATTGAGTTAAGATTAGTAAAGTTTTTTAAAGCCTGTAAAATTACGGGTGAATATATCTGCACTATTGTGAATGGTTTTGAGTCAAATCACCAAGAGTCTCTAGCCACTGATTGATTCTTAATATGCCGAGGGACCCAACCGGTCTATCTTTACCTCCTTATATGGCTCGAAGCAATAGTAGAATATAGTAGATTGATGTTATTTTTTCAATCTAATCTGACTTCAGCTAACATCACTCATTGATGGACACTGTGAGACTTAGAATGTTTATGAGATGTTCCAGCCACCTATTTCGACGTGGCTTCCGTAGCTAACGGTCTGCGTCTGACGCCATTGTTACTTAGCATTTTGTTTCATTTAAGGAGACAGAGACTGGGTGAAGAGTGTTTCGAGATTTAACAACTTGTAATGAGCTATTTCTGTACAAAGTTATACGTTGATTTGTCAATCGGTTAATCAGTAATCTAGAAATAAAGAGTTGTGTGGTGGATGAACTCAGATCAATTTCATTTTCAAATAGCCCATTTGTTTGCAACTTTAACTAACTAGGGAGACTTTAACAATCATGCCTAAAATTTATGAGTAGGTCCAACATTTAACTAAGCGTAAACTGACCTTCAACTTGTTGTTTTTTGTTTCGATTGGCTAGCAGTCTGAAGAGACATTAGCGTCATCTGCACAGTGGAACATGGATTTGCTTCAAAAGAATATCAGTTACATCGTAACAATGTATAAAACACCAGCTAATCGGGAGGAATGCAAACCTGTCTATTCGGTTCAACATAATTATCACACACTTAAGAAATGCCATGAGTTTAACTAACACTATAATGGAGTTAGTCAAATGACAAGCGTATCATATCTTCAAGTAAAGGGATTTTTTAAAAACACATCGGAGGCTAAATGGCAACACAGTACATTAGAAAATTCAAAGGCATGGATTAAATACTCAATGAAGTTGTGCATTTGCATTACTGGGGCACCTTGAACACAAAAAAAGTTACAGTGACTTTCTCGGTCATGACAAGAATTAACTGTTAATCTGTTAGGCTACTTTTTCAACATTTGTGGATAGCGACACTAAGGACTGTGCAATTTATGGCTTAAATAAGAAAACCTTTGAACAGGAAATCTTGGGTTTCGATTTGCTTCTAACTAATACCTACCCAGGTGATATCGGTTTACAACACTAGACGAAATATGAACTAGTTTAGAGTTTGAAAAGAACTTGATTATTTAATGTCTTAAGTTTAGTATTCTAAGGTATCCACTGTGAAATATTTATTCAAATGCTTACATGTTAGGTGAGGGGGGAAAGTCAGTCGACGAGATTGTGAGTGTGCATCGATTGGGACGGCTAGGAAAAGTGTTGCGCATTCTTAGCCACCGCCTTTCTCGTCCATTAGCGTTACTTGACACAAGATTAGAAAACACTTGCTTAACATAACATCGATTCATAAAATCTTCGACTACTTGGTTGCATCAGTCATGTAGGGAGGTATGTAATGACCGTCTGGCTAGGCTGAGAATCAATGGCTGAGGATTATTAGTGGTAAGGCTCAGCACTATTCTCAATATAGTAGATGCTGTCGCTCTTTGTAAACTCGAAAATTCATAAAATTCACATTATTCTTCAAGCCCTTCTTCCTTCTCCCACCCATATTTTCTTTTATTATAGTTCCTTTGAATTTTTTTCCACATTTATCTGATTTCTGAGAGCACTTTTCAACTGGTAGTTTTACAAACATTACAGGGAAAAATGTCCTTATTTCAGAGCCAACGATAACAAATAACTACAAAGAGCACAAATATTAAAATTTTGACAACAGTAGTTTAAGTGTAGTGTGTAAATAATTACTTGGAGCTAACCAGGTTTAAATTCAAGTGAAGAAAGGAAGGAAAAACCTTTCAGTTCTTTAAAATTTGACAAGAAAATAATCGAAGACAAAATATGGATAAACTGTATGCATAATTTAGAAGGCGCTTTAGGAACACTTAAAGTAACGCATATCAGCACCCACATGCTGAAGAGCGAGACAACCGGGGCAGAAATTTTATTTAAGGAATTACAGCATGCAATAAATGCTATTGCATATGGCTTATTCAAGTGTCTTTCTTTCAGAATGCAGAGGTGCTAGAAGTTTGCAAGTCTTAAGGGTTGTGACCCAAATATATGGCGCACAAGATTGTGTGTGCTTGGTGAAATATGCAGTGCTACGATGTTCTTTCTTCCCACACTGGGTGACAGTAAAGAAATATTCGATAGGTAGAGAATGAACTTAAGCCAAATTAAAGTAAGTGTACAAGGAGTGTCTACTTAAGACAATATTTTGAAATACAGCATAGAGATAAATAAAGTGATTTATTAGAATTACTGTTGTCGAAATAACGGAGGAAAAGTAAATGGAAAGTGATCACAGAAAGCCCAAAGCTAAGTCATATATGCTGTTTTAGTTTTAACCAGGTGTTTTAAGCAAAATTTTGATCCCAAGTGCACCTCTGTACCGAAGGTAAGGATCAGAGACACTATAAACCACCAGTTTTAGACTACTTTTGGTGCGCTGTTGCCTCGCACTGACTTTCCCGATAGTTAAACAGTGAATACACCATACTTATTTTTAGATTTATGACTTCTTTTTGGGTCATATGTATCAATGCAACAGGATTGACTGGAGTTATGATCAATAAGTGAAAGTGCCGTCTTGACATAAAGAGATGAAGACAATGATATTTGCTCTATGCTAAACTCATATATTTCTGTTTTGACTAAATAAATTCAAAGTTGTTAACAGAGTCAATGCACGTGTTATTTACTTTCAGAGCAGTAAAAAATTTATGACTATGTACTGTGAAACTAGAAGTTAAAGCAAGATTGAGACTATAATATTCTATGTGGAGCATTAAAAGCAGTCTACAGTGCATAACTATAAAAGTTGTATCCCAAGTGTCATTCTCGTTCACCGACAAATGTTAATAAAGATTACAAAATCGTATGTCTACTAATACACGGAAATTCAAAAATCGTTCATTTGGTCTGGATCTGACAGCTTAATTCGTTATACTAAAAACTTCTTTTCAGCCATCACACAGATGTTTATTGCAGGAAATACAGTCTTGCGAGTGAAGAGTAAAAGCAAGCCCGAGATCTGACTGATTTTTGACTTCTAAACTATAAAATGCACATGAATTCGCGCATAAGTATGTTCGTCCAGGTTGTGATAATAACACACAAAATACAATTCAAAAAGGGATGGAATATCCCTACATTAAATAAAATATGGGTGTAGAAGAGTGACTAAATTCAGGATTTCGAAGATGATTAAGAACCAATAAAACCATGTCGTTGTGAACAGTTTTCGATAATGTCATATGAATTAGATAACAAAGTTTAGTCCAACCATTGTGAATTATATCCTGCTTAATACTACTCCAGTCAAAGTTGTTTGATAAATAAGGCGTGGTACTCCGCAGTGTAATTATCTGGTAAAAAAACCTAGCTCTATATAAGTAACATGAAAGATAATTTCAAAATCATTTCCGCTAATATCCTCTTGAGCAACTGATGGAATAAAAAGTTTTATTATAAGAGATTTGTAATTTCTCTGTGTACAGATTAAGGTGATAGGGATAGAAGGCCCTTGTGACCTGCATTAATCCTTACAAAATATATCTCTGCAGAGATCTAACTTCTCTTTGAAAGCGTTCACCGATGGAACTGTTACTACTGTATCAGGTAAGCAGTTCGAGTTGTTGATCACTCTGTGAGAGAATCGAAATTCCACACGTATTTTATTCGACCTCGGTTTGAGCAGCTTCCTGTAGTGAGTGACCTCGTAAATGTATCCTAGAGGGAGAGAAAAGGTTTGAAAGGTCAATCCCTTAATCAGCCTTTAATATACGGTGAGCCAAAATTAAGTCGCTTCTCTTCCTTCGGTGTAATAACGGGAAGAGGTTTAAATGCTCCACCCTTTTGTCATAAGGAAGATATGAGGTTCCATTTAGTTCCTACTAATTTTTATCTAGATGAATTTGTAGAGTCGATCTATCCCGGTTATTATTTACAGTTTTCCAGATCTTAATATCACCAGAAAATAATAATGAAGTAAGAATTCCCAGTAGTCCATTAGTGCATAATAGGAATAGCAAGGGGCCTAATACAGTTCCCTGGGGCAATCCACTTGATGCTGCTTTCCGCCTTGATAGAACACCGTTAGATTAGCTAATCTTCATGAAAAGATTAGCTGTCTTTGATAATAGGTGCCTGCGTTCTACTTTCCCGTGTGAAGTGGTATAACAAGGTGAGCAATATTGAGGTTAGGCGTCAAGTTCTAGGTAAACAGGGGAAATCAATCGACGAGGTTGTGAAGTTACAAAGACTGAGATGGTTAGGACATGTGTTACGTATGCTTAGTCATCGCCTTCCTCGAGGGCAATGTTAGCTGATATAGGGTTAGGCTGGAAAAGAGCTAGCGGGGGTCAAACAAAAACATGGCACCAGTTAATGAAATCTACAGTTAGTCTAAGCCAGTCACGTAGGAAGGTCCAGACTTCCTGGTTGGGGTCCTCGAGACGGTAAAAACCAATGGCTGGAAACAATTGGTGACATGGCTCAAAATCGTTCTCAATGGCGCAGATGTATCCACTCCTTGTGACTTATGATTTCCAATGAAACTGTTTTGTTCTTCGCTACTACTATTCCTTTGTCTCACACCTCTGTTTACTGTCTCTATTATGCATTTCTTCTACTTTCTTGTCTTGCTTTGTGTGCTACAAGGAGGGAGTGTGGCGGCTTGAACTGCTGCACATATGCGGACAGTTCTATGTCGAAAACAGACAGATTGTACACCGTTAACTCTAAGCTTCTGGCTTCTATCCATTAGGTAATCCCTAAACCACTCTCAAAGGCTCTTGTCTAGTCCGAACCCTTCAAGTTTACTAAGGAAACCTAACTGAGATCCTTTATCGAATGCCTTATTAAGATCGATAAAAACCAAATCCAACAGAACCTACCCAACAGTGGGTTTGTCAGGCAGGATCGTCCCGGTCGGAATCCATGCCATTCAATCACCAGCAAGCCATGTTTTTTCCACATGAGGTAATAGCTGGTCCCCTATAATTGTTTTCAATACCTTTGCTATTATGGATGTCAGACTTACCGGCCGGTAGTTAGATATCAATTGCCTGTTGCTCTCTTTGAAGATAGGGCTTATAATGGCATCGTTGCAGTCCCTGAGAAGCTTAGCCTGGGTCACAGACATTCGGAAAATCTCCGTACATCCCTGTACACAGGGATCTCCAATCACTAAATGGGGAAAACATCCCCAAAAGGGGTAAAATGAATAATTTCAATCCATTGCAAATAAGGAAGTTAAAGAGGAAAGGCACAACATTTTATCGAATTCCCAGTTCTTCTAATTTACCAGGTCTCCCCCTCAATTTTGCAGCTCTAAACACATAAAACTGAGTCAAGTGCATTTTTATTATCTTATTATAATGAATAAATTATATCTTAGCTGGTGTATTGATCAAGATGCATGATATGGTATTAATACCATATCATGGATGCCATATTCACAGACCTTAGCAAGGCGTTTGACAGTGTTTCTCATTCAGGTCTTCTAGTAAAGTTAGGTAGTCTGAGAATCAATAAAGTGGTTACCGACTGGATTCAAGACTTTCTAAAAGACAGAAGACAAAGAGTACGAGTTAACGGGGTTTTATCAACATGGGAATCGGTTAAGAGTGGCGTTCCTCAGGGTACAATTCTAGGCCCACTTCTTTTCCTGATTTATGTTAATGAGATTCCATCGGTAGTTAAGTCATCCTGCTTACTGTTTGCTGATGACATCAAGATATGGAGGGCTTTGCACGATGACAGTGATCAACTTGCTTTGCAGGAAGATTTAAACTTGTTAAGTGATTGGTGTAAGCACTGGGCCTTGGAGATTAACTTAAGCAAGAGTGTAGTTATGCATGTATCCCATAGTCACGTGCACAATTACTCAATGAATGGCATTACTCTCCCAGTGGTCACTGAGTACAAGGACTTGGGAGTGGTTGTGCAGCATGACTTGAAAACAGCAACAAACTGTAGAACTGCAGCCACTAAGGGTTTTCGAATGTTATGGGCCATACGCAAGGCTTTTGCGAACTTTGACGCTGATATATTTCGTATATTATATCCGACTTATATCAGACCTCATTTGGAATATGGTATCCAGGCAGCGAGCCCGTGTTTCAAATACGAAATAGACTTATTAGAAGGGGTGCAAAGAGTAGGAACTAAGCTAATAAAGTGTTTCTCAACCCTGTCATATGAGGAGTGGTTAAGTCGACTGGGTTTATTTCCACTGTCATACAGACGACTTAGGGGTGACCTAATTCGCCGAAAAGAGACTCTTCGCTGATCTACGTGTTTTGTTTTCATTAATGACCTAATACTAGCATACTGTATCCTAAGAAATGATTTTGGAGCTAATTTATCTAAATTATTTCTTCCTTCTAGCACCAACCGATTGTGAGGACATCACCTCAAGGTTCAAAAACCATGGTCAAATCGTCTGCGTCTGGAGATCCGTTTTTCGCATCGAATTGTGAACCATTGGAACTCCCTACCGGAACACGTCGTATCAGCGCCATCCGTTGATTCATTCAAGGCGAGATAGGACCCCCTGTATGCAATAAATCGAAAGGATTAACACAGGCATATAGCCTACTATCCTAAATAAATTGTAAACTGCAAACTGAATTCAATCGAATTAAAAACATGATACTTCGAACCAGTTATTATTTTGAAAACCTCAATCATTCAGTCCCATAATCGGAAATATTGGATATTACCAGTTAAGTCAGGGTGTTTATACTACAAGTGCAGTCAAAATCCCGCTTAAAACGTTATACATATTTTGTGGGTTTGTTTTACCCTCAGTTTTGTTGCCAAGTTTGCCTGAAGTTCAATATCTCATATACAATCAATATGGTTTCTACAAGCTAGTAGAAGCTTAATTGTTTCTTCAGTTGTAGGGCTGAGGTGTGTGATCTTCGGAAAACTTCTGCGTAGTCTGTCCCACCACACGACGGCCGTAACTTTGGCTGACCCCAAGGAGATTAGTTAAATGTGATTTTATACATTTATAATCACTGTACATTTTCGACTTTTCTGTCACTGATAATTCCGAAAAATCGACTGTCAGTAGTTTTGTTTAGATTTACTATTTTTAAGGAAATTAGGTACAATATTGCATCAAATACTGAAAATTCCACTATTTATCGTTAGGACACTTTTGGAATAAAGCAAATCATTGTTGTTTGCAGTATATGATATCTTAAGGCCGTGTTACTGCTGTGAATGGGATTGTTCCCTTGCCTACTGATCGTCGTGTGTGCTCGACAAGGGAGGTAGTAGTGAAGAAGAGTGTACGGCGGTAAGGGGAGAGTTGAGATGATGGCTATCAGTGGAACTGGGTGTGTGAGTTATTAGTGGTCCTCTTCGAAACAGTCCCTGTGTTGCTGCGTGACCACCTAGCCTCCAATTAGAGCTTTCCAGCGAAGGTGTATGGATTTAGCCGCTGTGAATAGTTCCATGGGTGGCGAACCTGAAGCGAAAAGAAATGGGAGCGCACTAAATTTTAGGCGTTTGGTGAGCCGTCCATCGTGGGTTCCCACAACGAAGTACGTTATAACTTATTGCAAGAGAACCTTCGTTTCGGGTGGTCCTGGTCGTTTGTAATCTTATAAGCAATAACTGAGACTTTCCTCAATCGACAGTAGCTAGAAGTGAAAAACTTTTCCCAGTCTTCACCACATGGTTTATTCTGGAGGCACGCTACTGCATTTTTCTCACATCTTCGGACCATTTTCAAAAATTTGACACCTCTGTTTAATAGTAGGGAAGATATGATATTGTGCACTTCAGCGTGAGGTTGTACGTTGTATATACTTCTAAAAGAAACTCCCGACTTTGCAAAACCTACCTGTCTATGTGGGGGTGTAAAACCATTTATACCCTCTCCATATCATGCGTGAAATTCACTCCTATCTCCAGGCTACACCTCATCCATTACTATGAGCTGACCAATTTTCTCCCGCACTCTTTTGGGCCGATAGTTTAATTTAACCCTTGAATTAGTCGCTATCTAAGAAAACATAACAACCAGTTAGCCGTGGAGCATCGTCAGACTAGCATGTAGGTCAACTTCTCCTTACGCGAGTTTTCAGCCACTTGGAATGGACTACTATCCAGTGTGTGAAGCGTACACACTGCCTGCTTTCATCACTCCAGTCATTGCACAGTCCAGAAATGATCATTTAATTTTTTCCCAAGTATTTTTAATCCATCCAAAACTTACTTGGCTTTTTTTTTAATGTGAAGTCAATATTTCTATATTTCATGATGTGCTCCATTGAATGACTGGTTATCATTTTGTTCCCACAAACCAAAGACAAAAATGTCAGCAACCAAGTAATTTAACCATAAACCAAATTTATGAAATTTAAAATAATGCTTATCCATGCCTGTACATTTGGTGTGTCCTACACAGGTAGGAAAAAATATGTATTTTATTAAAACATTGTTGTTAAGTATGATTGCTAATCGTGTATATAATTTATCATATTGATAATGCCTGTGAACTGGCGTCCCTCACTTAAAAAATGAGAATATACTATTATTATTAATATTAAATGAACTCTGCGACGATTTTCCAACCTAGGGTGTCAACCTGAGAAGGGATGTAGGCGTACTGCTGTAAGTTTTACAACTCCTCAAGGGTAGTACATAGATGCGCTGTCCATCGTACTTGGCGTGTTATTTTGTACATACTTTCATGTTGTATATACTGAATTGGTATCATTTTTCACCTTTCTGCTGGTCAATCTTCTTCGTGTCCGGACGTCTTCCACCTGTATCATCAACCTGAGAAGGAATGTAGGCGTACTGCTGTCTGTCTGTCTGTTTTCGACATAGAACTTTGCACAAATGTGCGGAAGTTCAAGTCGCCACATTCCGTGTAGCACGCGAAGCAAGAGAAGAAAGTACAAGAAAAGCATAATAGAAACAGTGAGCAGAGGTGTGAGACAAAGGAGTAATAAAGAAATACAAAACAGTTTCATTGAAGATCATAAGTCACAGGGAGTGGATGCATCTGCGCCACTGAGAACGATTTTGAGCCATGTCACCAATTGTTTCCAACCATAGATTTTTACCGTCCCGAGGACCCCAGCCTGGAAGTCTACACCTTTCTACGTGGCTTAGACCAACTGTTGTGGATTTCATTGACTGATGCCAAGTTTTTGTTTGACCGCCGCTAGCTTTTTTCCAGCCTGACCCTATATCCGCTAACATTGCTCGTCGAGGGAGGCGATGGCTTGGCATACGTAACACATGTCCTAACCATCTCAGTCTTTGTAGCTTCACGACTTCGTCGATTGATTTCCCCTGTTTACCTAGAACTCTACGCCTAACCTCCATGTTGCTCACCTTATTATGCCACTTTACACGGGAAATAGAACGCAGGCACCTATGATCAAAGACAGCTAGTCTTTTCATGTCTTCCACTCTCAGTGGCCAGGTCTCACAACCATAAAGGAGGACGGAGCGGACTGATGAGCAGTACACCCGCCCTTTGGTCGATAGTCGAACATCTCGTCTACGCCAGAGTCGGCGTAAACTAACAAATGCGAAACGAGCCCCTTGTATTCGTGCTGAGATTTCGTCAGAGATCAGCCCGTTGGGGCTGATGGTACTTCCCAAATAAGTGAAGCGGTCAACGTGCTCTACCACTTCACTTCCTATTTTTAAACTAGGCGTCGATGTAGTCCAGTCCTGTAACATCATCTTGCATTTGGCGGGAGCGAATCGCATGCCAAACATTCGTAGATTGCGGCTCAAGGTGTTTAGAAGACTCTGCATTTCGTCAGCGTCTTCGCCTAGAAGGACTATATCGTCTGCATATTCCAAGTCAACGAGATTATTCCCCGGTAGCAAGTCAATCCCTGAGTCGCTGAAGTCACCTAGGGTTAAGTCCATTAACACATCTATGATGAAGTTGAATAGAAAAGGAGATAATGGGCATCCTTGACGGACACCACTGGTCGTCATCAGTTCAGATGACAGCTCGCCGTAAGCCCTCACCTGGCTGTATGAGTACGAGTAGAGTGCCTTAATCAGTGCAATATATTTTCTTGGAATTCCCTTTACAGCCAAGCATCTCCAGAGAACTTCCCGATCGACAGAGTCGAATGCTGCCTTTAGGTCAAGAAATATAATGACTGTTGGACGCCGGTAGGAATGCCTATGTTCTAGAATCTGTCGGAGGGTGAAGATATGATCAATACACCCTCTTCCTGGTCTAAAGCCTGCCTGGCTCTCTCGTGTTTGTGCTTCCCGAGCACCACTCAGTCTACGCATGATTATTGAGCCTAAGACTTTAGATACTATATTAGTCAAGCTAATCCCTCTGTGATTATCACAGGAAGACTTGTCTCCCTTCTTGTATATGGGGATAATCAGTGACTTACACCAACCCGATGGGACTTCTTCTGATTCCCAGACGCTGCCTAGTACCTCAGTTAATCCGGACAGTAAGCTGTCTCCACCGTACTTAAATACCTCTGGAGTCATTCCATCAGGTCCCGCTGCTTTGCCTAGTTTCAGATTGGTGACAGCTTTAGTAACCTCAGTTAGTGACGGAGGACCTGTGTTTATATCCCATTCAGGGAGGTGTTGGATGCTCGGAAGGTTGAGCGTGGCTGTGGGCAAATTAAACTGCTCCTCATAATGCTCTTTCCAACGATCCAGTCGTCTATCCTGTGAGCTAATTATAGTGCCATTTTTTTCCGAGATTGTCTCACTAATGATTTGTCTTCTCCCACCCGTTTCCCTGATGAGTCCAAAGAGTTGCCTGGTGTTGCCTATCCTCAAAGCTTTCTCCATCTCTTTGGCTTTTGTCGCCCACCACTGTTCACGGTCCTTGCGGAGACTTTTCGTAAGTCCTGCTGCTGTAAGTCCTACAGTTCTTCAAGGGTAGTTCGTCATGGCAGAATCCACAACATTTGATTCTTGATTGTACATATGTTGGTGTTAAACATTTGTGTGGGTTCCAATTATTGTAATTGTAGATTAATCTTGTTTGTGTCCGGACATTCTTAAACTTACAATCGTTAACCTGAGAAGGGTTGCAGGCGTACTGGTGCAAGTCCTGAGATTCTTCAAAGGAATTCCATCAAAACATGATCTGCGAGGTCAGGTGCATTGTGCATATATATGTGTAGTGTGTCATCAATTGGTGTTTTTAGATTCATTGTGTTCACTTGTTGCTTTCGTATCTTGTTGCTATTGGATAATTTTGTTAAATTTTTCGTCGTGCTTACTTCTGAAGTTGTTACGAGTATTCTACATCCGTGAATGAATTGATTGATGTTAAAGACAGCAGATGGGTCGTATACGCCGGGGAGGCTAGTTCTGAAAATGACATGCACATGGAGATAATGATTAGCTGTGGTCCCACACGCCGGGGAGCGGGAGTGTAGACAACTGAGGCTTGCATACGTCACCGTTACTAGAACTGAGGCAGAATGAGTGACAAGCGATTGCAATGTTAATTGGTAGTGGGTAGATAAGAGGATGTGCGTAGAGTATCATGAGGTGCTGCTATGGTCACGTTGCGTTATGCAAGAGTCATTCTAGTAAGTGGCGATTGTGTTGCAAGATGTGAAGAGGATGCCTTTAACTGGAAGGCGTAGGTCGTCATTGATGTGTGAGATTGTGCTGTGGGTATGCTTGTGGTGTGTTGGCTTTTCTGTTTGTTTTCCATTTCAGCTCTGTCCGTGTGACCCAGGTTCTCGCAATGGCATCCAAGTCAACGCGTATTGGTCATGATGGAAAAAAGAAGGGATCCATTTTTGGAGGTGAGTGTCAAT